ACCACCGCGTCTGGCTCCGCGCACGCAGCGACCCCCGTCGTGTCTCACGTCACGCACGACGCACGCGCCCCCGCAGCGCAGGGAGGGAGACCTCCCTGCGGAGCTCAGCCATGCACACATCACCGCCTCCGCCTCCAAGCTGGCGGCCTGGTGTGACTTTGACACCCCACCTCCTTCCACACACCCCCTTCCACACACACGCAAGGTCACAGAGTCGCCGACAACTCCCTCGTGTCACACGGACACAGGATACACCTGCCACATGTTAGCCCAAACCCTGACTGGTCCAGCCAGCTCTGTGCCGACTGGGACAGCATGTAGCCCTCACGTAGGCACGTCGTCACTCACATACGGGGTAAGGGGGACACGCAGTGCCACATTCTTAGGGGTAGTGGTGGCAGACACAGTCTGATAAGCCAGGTCAGAACAGAGAACACAGATACAAACCTTCGCGTCAAGGCTGGGGTTGCCACAGAGGCACGTGGACACTGTGGTGGCACAGAGGGACAAGGCAGACGCGTCAGGGTCACGACGTCACGGGTTATCGCAATTAGTGCACACAGAGATGAATGGGCTCGCAGGGACAGAGCCACAAGGCCACACACACGGGGCCGCTCAGTGTGTCACAGGGACATGGACAAACCAAGGACACGCAATGACTGGGAGGGTCACGTGACAATGTAGGACACGGCTGCAGACAGACAACCTAAGGCCACACTTAGTCTTCACACAATGACAAGACACAGGCCCCAAGCCAGGTCCCATGCAAAGCGGTGTGCACGGGGCCAGCAAGCAGCATGGTGGTTGAAGCACGGGACTCCAACATGTCTGACTATGGTTCGAGTCCCGGCCCTGGAGACTTATTTTCTCACTTCCTGTCTGTCTGTCTGTCTCTGGTGAGTACACATGCTCTCTAGCAAATCTAAAGAAAAAATAGTAATAATGATAAATTATGTTAAATAATTTATTTTTGGGAGAGGTTTTTGCTATAGGGCGTTGTGTGCTCACCACAAAGACACAGAGAGAAAGTGAGAAATCACCCCCGGGGAGGGGAATGGCTGCAATCCCTTTTTCTTTTTTAATAATTATTTTATTTAACTTTATTTATTATTATTATCATTATTATTTTCCAGTTTGATCAGAGAGACACGGAGAGAGAGGGGAAGTGAGAAAGCAAGCCAGCAGGTCCGAGACTTGACGCTGGGTCAGCGATGTGGGAGTCCAGCGCCTTTAACCACCATGTCACTTGCCGGCCCTGCTGCAATTCCTTTTAAACTCATGCAGGGAGTGTGTGCAAAAGTGCCCAAAACCCTGGGAGGAGAATGGAGAAGGGATTTCAGGTGGCCATCCCCCCAGGGGTAATTTCTCACTTTCCCTGTCATTGTCTCTGTCTCCAGCAAATAGATGCACCCTAAGACAAAAAACCTTTTAAAAAGTTATTTAACGTGGGAATAGCAGTTGGCGTAATGGCAATGTCGCTGGACTCCCACGTGGTTAACTGTGGTTTGAGTCCAGGACCCAGCGGCTTAAACTCAGAGGCCGTGTACATGTGTGTGCGCGTGTGCATGCCCAAGATCTCGAGAGGAGAATGGAGGAGAGGGGATTGTGGCGTGGCCATCCGCCCGGGTGGTGATTTTTTGCTTTCTGTCTCTCTGTCTCTGTCTCTCTGTCTTTCTAGCGAGCGAACGCACCCTGTAGCAAAAACCTCTCCAAAAAAAAAAAAAAAAGGAGGGAGGGGGAGGGACAGCAGCAGATGGCGTGGTGTTTAGAGGCGCTGGACTCCCACATGACCGATTGCGGTTTGAGTCCTGGCCCTAGTAGCTTGCTTTCTCACTTTCGCTCGCTCTCTCTTTGTCTCTGGTCAAATAAAAAAATAAATACAAATTAAATAATTCTTTTTTTAAAAAAATATACTGCCAACAAACAAAAATAACCAAATAGCACGCAGCCTGGAATCACAGTCTATGAAGACAATCTGAGTGAGACGACCACCATGCAGAGTCACTCTTGGGCACAGAAGGAAGGGTCTCTCGGGTCCCCCGAGCCCTGGGTGTTATACATAACCCCCCACAGCAGACACACACACACACACACACACACACACACACACCATCAGGTCACACAGAGTCAGCCTGTTACACAAATCCCAAGTCCCCAAGACACAGGCGGATACGGACACACGCCCATGTGCGTACAACCACCAAACCACTATCTCGCACCTTCACGAATTTGAGCACACTTCGCGTGGGCTCAGACACACACACACACACACACACACACACACACACACACGGGGAAGGGGCAGGATGGGCGTTCCTGGCAGGATGTTGGCATTTGGGGTGCAGTAGGTGTGTCTGCGAATCTCCCATGGTAATGGCGTCCGGGGTCCACTGGGTAGGTGCCGGCAGCCAGAGGAAGGTGGGGGGCTACTGTTTTCCAGCACTCCGGGTCTCTATGTCAGCTCTGGGTCCCTGCCCAGATGTGAAGGCCGGAGGGGGTGGGCCTGGGTCCAGCTGTGGCCACAGGGAGGGGCTGAGTCACCGGGTTTCCCAGCACACAACCCAGGCTGGGCCCAGCTGTTCCTGGAAACAGACTGGAGAGGGGGTGGGGTCCCCAAACCGGCTGGGGGCTGCTGGCCCAGACCTGCACGCTGGGCCTCCCCAGTCCTACCAAAGGAGGCCTACACACCATCTCCCAAACTCGAGGCTCCCTTCTCCTGAAAGGAGGGTTTGTAGACAGATGGGTCCCTGCCCAAAATGAACCATCTATAGCCACTTTGCTGAACAGAGGTAGTGGATTCCTACCAGCGGGTTCCCCCTGCCCCCCTTGGACGACAGGGATTTCTCCCCCCCCAACATGGACGTTCTTTCTCTTTTCTTGCAAAAGTGGGACTCCCTGGAGGGCTGTGGCTCTTACCCCAAAGTGAAGGATTTCCTTGAATCTGGGGTCTCATGAACATCTGGGGTGCTCTGAACCCACCACCATCAGAACAATAGAAGCCCCTGTTTCCCACATATTGGGATTCCTAGATTTTCCTTTAACCGCTAGCTCTCTGAGACCTCCCCCTCCTGCCCCTCGCCCAAATATTCATGGGACCTGGCCTGTCCAGCATCCTATCCAGATAGCAGCCACGGGGCTTCCTGGTTCGCTTCCCACTGCCACCTGGGGGGCAGGATGGCTCTATTTTCCTCTGTGAGCAACACCCTCTCCCCCACGGTGGGTGCGAGTTGGGGGTGGAGGGGGCACCAGAGCAGCTGTTCCCACGCCCGCCGCCGGAACAGTCCAGTCCGGAAACCAGCGCTGCCGCCTCCTATCCCGGTCCGTTCTACCCCTCCACCCACTCCCGGGAGCTGGAGTCTGGAAAACAAGCAAGAGGGAATTATGGGCGTGGAGACGAGCCTCCAGGCCCCCGCGTGCGTGTGGCTGCGTCTGAATGAGCTGTTAACTGGGTGTCTGGGGATCGAGGGGCTGTGTTTGTGCGTCGCGGCGGCCGGGCGGGAGGCTGCAGTCACCACGCTCCAGGGCAGGGTCGCTGGAGCCAGACTCCCTGGGTTAAAGGGAGCAGCGCTCCTCCTCTCGACCTGGACCCGCCCCTCCCTCTAGGTACGGCTAATAACTTCTAATTACTGTACAGAACCACACCCGCCTGCGGGGGAGGGACTGCAGACGGACGGGGGGCCTGGGGTGAAAGGGCGCAGGCCTGGGCCCCCTCCCTGCAAAGCCAGGTCCCCCAGAGCGTCTGTTTCCTTGCCTGCGAAACCGGGAATTATCACGCACTGGCCACCTGGACTCGTGGAGATTCGATCGTCTATGTATTTGCATCACTTAGCTCAGGGGCTGCGTACAGTAAAGCACGCCATACACGGTGACTACGATTTTATTAACTACGATCGTTAGCGCTTTTCTTCGAGCCCCACTAGGGTCGTAGGGGGGTGGGGCACCCTCTTCCTCGTAGGCTGCGTCGCTGCGGTTTGCGCGCCCCCTGGTGGGCAGCGTGCATCGCGCAACTTGGGGCCTGGTCCTGCGTTCTGGGGATGCCAGGCGCTCCTTGGCGGAGAAGAAGGCGCAGGGGAAGCGCACGGAGGGCGGATCCAGGTTAGGTAAGGGTGTCTGGCCATCACCCAGGACATATGTCTGGCTGCTCCTTCCTGCCCGCGACCTAGCATCAAAGCAGTATTCCTTTGGGTTTACCCATTGGGTAAGACTCCCGAGTCACCTCCACCTGGAAGACCTCTTTAGGATTAGGATCCCTCCGCCCCAAGTGCACAGAACGTATTAGGGCTCGCCCCTCCGTCGCACGGATAAAGGCTCCGATCATTCGGTGTTTAGAAGGCTGGCTTTCAGCTGCAGGAAAGGACGACAATGCGACTGTAAACCAGGGTGGGGCAGCTCCGCCTTACGAGCACCTTGAATTCATCTCCCCAACCCCAAAAGAGCCAGGGGAGGGGAGAAGTGGCCACCCTCGAGATGCGCAAGGCTAGGCCAGGCTGACCCCTAGCGGCAGGGGGAGCTCCGAACGCTGCCCGGATTCAAGATGGCCGGGCCGGCAGCAAGAGTGGGCGTGGGGAGATCACGTGCCAGGGGCGGGGCTTGGGTCTACGGGGGGGGGCG